GATGTCACGTGATAATTATGTAAACAACGACTGTCCAGTTTGTGCGAAATTGTGCCTCTATACTTAGTCTTTTGAAATATATAAGCTAAATTACTCTTCTGAACAACACAACAGACAGAGAATGTTTTATTCGAAAATGTCACAAAACCCTTCTCGCTACCTTAAGCAACATGTATATAGTACTGCCACTGATTTTGTAATCATTAATAGTACTAGTAAATATCAAGAATTCCTCATAATTATGCATGTAGTAAAAAATCCAGTATTAAACATTGTGAAACATGCCTGAAATGCTCATCATTTTATTGCAGGTGCATTGTTATATGGATTTTGCATACACATTTTTAGGAATTTATTTTTATCAAATCCATGACCCACAATGAATGCTGCAGAAATTACCCAAGAAACAAATTATCTTTGATACTGTAAAATATTTCAGTTTAGCTGGAATTAATTTTTGCTGTTGAGACTGTTTGGGTGTTTTGTATGGAGTTTATCTTCACTTATTTTTGATGAATTGAATGTAAAATATAGGAAAAAAATGTATATTCACTTGATTTTATTCTCGCTGAATCATCCCTTCAGTGAAAAAAGTTAAAATGAATTTCAAGCAAAAATAAAGTATTTCACAGTAAATGCTTGTTTAATACATACAAGGTCCTTGAATGCTTTCTCACAAGTGTCAGGATTTATCATTAACTTCAAAAGATCCATCCATTTCTTGATCAGTGTAATGTTTTCCACTTCATCAGTATGTTGCCACTTTGCCAGATGTTCATTATGCTGTGGAAAGTCGTTACCATGGATTTATGAGAATATGTTCATGATATGAAATGAAGTTCTCGCGAGAATTGACAAAATCTCACAAATTGTGAGATGATCACAAAACGTACATTTTTTGGAAATACTGTACTAATGATAATGAGCGATTCTATGAAAGAGTTGGTTTGCATCCATTTCGTCTGGCAGAGATTAATAAATGGAATTTTGGGCTTAATATGTGCTTAGCTACACTTCAAATGGAGAAAATATTGTAGATTTTTTTAATTCAATTAGTTATTGTTTCTATTATTTTGGTGCATTATGCAAGTACTGTTTTTGTTACAAAAACATATTCTGTGTTTAGGACTTATACATGACCTATGTGGACATCTTCCTGTCATAATGACAGTATGGCAATATAATAATGATTTGAGTGTCAACTACAGGTATACTGAACAGGTCTGGTGAAGCACCTGTGGACCTTAACCAATTAAAGTTCACCCAAATTCTCATCCATTAGCGAATGAATCCCGTCCAAAGGATTTAGTCTTGCCATTGAGTCTATAGCAAACTCTCCCAAGGTAAGGTTTGCTTGTGACCAAGGAACATTTAAATGGGTGGGCTTTCCGGGGAAGCATAGGATACTGGTCTAAGATGTGCAAGTATCTATAAGAGCACTTTATATCAGCACTTGTATTGCAAATTGCACATTAAAAAATCAGGAGAAACAACAGTTACATTGAAATTCAAGAACTGTCACCTGGCACAAAAATGTTTTTAAAAAAAAACCAAAAAAAACCAGAAAATGAGATTCATAAACACTTACATTATTTTTTGGAGTCACTTTTTTAGCACAGATAAGACAAAGATCATAATCAGGCGAGTCAGTTATCTCAATCACTTTAGTCAGCCTGTCAACCAATGAAACTCTCTGGAAATAAACAAGGTCAGATCACATCTCTTGATATAAAAAAAAATCCTAAACTTAGAGTGACATGAAGTACTGTAAAATACTTTTAAATTATTTTATATTTATTATATTTTAGGTCATTCAAAGGTGGAATGTTACTCAAAGGTTCAAATAATGTAATTTCTTTTTTATTTTCACACGCGTGAAATTAATAAAATAAAAATCACACTTGGCTTGGATAAAATTGATGTACAAAATGGAATGAAAAGATAGGTGTACATGTACAACTTTTGGACAGTGACGTATGGTAGATAACTATACTTAGTACAATGTATCTTACAAAGTAATTTTCTCGTCAAAAAGTATTAAACAACCAGCCTTCCGGCTGATATAGCTCCACTGTGTACATTTTTACCGTAAATCAACTAAATATTTAGAAAATTAAAATTGTCATGAAATAAAAAAATGTGTCAGAGGTCCTTCCAAAGTGTCTGCATATAAAATATCAAACAATTGGGCTAGCCATTTTGTACAAAAAGTGGAAAATAGCATTTTTACTAAAAATGACAAAAATGTTCACTAAAATTAAAGAATGGAAGATATTGTCACAAAATGGACAAATTTGACTAACGACTACTCAAGGTCTATATATAAAACAAGAGTTCGCAGAGAAATCTCGATGCTGGGAAAATAAGAGCTTGTTTTAATGAAAACTTGAAGTATACATGAGGGTAAGTGTTATTATTTATTTATTTTGAAAGCTCAATTTTTAACTGAAGGAATTAAACTAATTAAACATTCATGTTTGTTTATTTAGAACCTTAGACTACTGGACTACCAGACGTTTAATTGTACTTTTATAGCGTATGTTACTATGACAATCAACCAATTCGAGAAAAACATTCGACAATGACTAAATGCATGGCCACAGCCAAATCGCTGTTTAATTGAAATAAAAAAAATCAAAGAAAACAGAGAACTCTAAGACAGGAAGAGAAACACGAGCGATGTAGTCGAACAAAAGGCAATATGGCAGCCGTGTTTGTTTCACCTAGATCAATACAGTATTACCCGCGATGCTCTATTCCCATATGTGGGTATGTGGAAGTTCATAGCCAAGTGTACTAGTACTGTGGTCAAAAACAAGGTAAGAAATTACGTGACGAGATCGAACCGATTTGCCGTTGATTTCCGGGTTCGTTTCATATAATATATATATATTGAAAAAGAAGATCGATACGCACTACACTGCCGAGTGTAGTAGACATACTTCTGATGGAAATAGGAAGTTCAAAGGAAGTTAATACAGTTGATTTATAACAGACTGAGTAAATGGAAATCACTTTTCAGTCCTCATTGAGGCACAAACATATTTAAATGAGTTAGTAAACAAGAGACGATGGCAACTTCACGTTGTGGCAGATTTACACACTGCTACAGTTCGACTAAAGTTTACAAACACCACAGTCAGTTACACAAAGTTCCCCAAATTAAAAAGGAATTTTTAAATGCGTTGGGGAACACGAGACAAAAAATTGAGCATACTTAGATGATGACTCCACGTTATAACGCAGCATGAAAATGGCAATTTAAAACTTTGCCTACGGATTTCCCTGGGCCAGATTAACATAATACTACAGTTCGATAAGTTTACAAACACCACGGCCAGTCACACAAAATCCATCAAAAGAAAACTGCAAGTCGTATAATGCCAAAACAGTACCATGATTTCAGAACTGTCGAAAAACTATCAGAAATTCGTAACATATAATTCGAGTGATTGTTTAACAAAATAACTCATTATTTGTAAATTCAATCCATCGAAAAAGCCTAAAAAAAAACATTTTTATAAACAATTTTTATTATATAAATACACTTTGAAAAGAAACGTGATTCATAAACATAAATCTATTTGAATACATTCTCACTACAAATTACACTATACTTATTTTTCAATGGTGTCTCTTCACAGCACAAACTCTTGGAATCATGCACTCGTGTGAGTACTTCAGTGACACATTTTATAGCTACGCCCAAAATAGTCCATTATTTATTGCACAATTGTGACCAATCGACATCATTCTGTTAACAACCAAAGATTTTCATAAAATCTCCATGAACTTTTTTTTTGACCATTCATAAGTAAAATAAATACACTACAATTTACTCCAGAAAAATAATTTTCTTGGTACATTCCTACATTGGTCAATCCTTTCCCAGCAATAACGAAGCAATCTGACTAGCCATTTTCAAAAGGAAGTCGAAAATGTAAATTTGACACTGACTGATACCCGACAATCCGACGCAGTTTTTTTTTAATAAAACACTATGTTTGCATTATGGTCTACAGTTTTTCTCAAAAAAAAGATTGACAGTGATTTAAATAAGTTTACATTTACAACTATAAATACTAAGACAGTTGATTATAGACATAATTCATAGGCTGAGTGACAGAGGGACAATGTGAAGGTCTTGAACATTGTATTTTGGATGATCTCATAGCAACTTACCCGTTTGTATGCCTTCAGTTCATCAACTGAACTAACTTTGTCAGTCCTTGCAATCCCACATTCGTGGGCCATGGCAAGATAACTCTACAAAAGAAATTTATTAAATTACCCACATTCATACTCTCTCAATTTTCACTGAAAAAAAAATGACTAACAGAAGTTCGGGGTATCTGGAAACTATTACTTGTCAATTTTGATATTTCAATATGAATGATTTATGAAAATATAAATACTATAGAAGGAGGATTACTCCCCCACCCCCCCACCCCCGAATTGGATTTTAGCGGATATTGGTTGCATCAATAATTTTGGTACCGGTATATATTTTGCACATTTTTATGTATTTTTCTGTAATTTTTCTGTTAATTAAAAAATAAAAAGACATAATTTCAAGTTGACTGTAGGTCTTGATCAAAATGTTTTAATGAAGTGACTAATTTAATGTTCAATAATATAAGACTTAATACATTAAAAATACTTACATCTCTCTCAGGATCGAATGTGTTTTTTTCACTCTCTGTTGTTGGTGTCTTGGTATTTTTTTCTAGTGCTTTTATTTTAAGATGATGTCTGATTCCATTCAAATGCACTTCAAAAGCCTGTTATACAAGATATTGGGTTAGTTAAATTTGATTATGGGAATTATTCAGGTCCTGTTTTCCATCAAACTTACCCGAGCACTCTAGAGCCATGTTGCTTAAGTTGTTACAGATATTCACACTGATCATTTCAATGTTCAGTGTACAAACTCAATTTTTATGAATAACAGGGGTTTTTCTAGAAAAAATGAAGGAGCACTGCAATTCAGCGGCACCACCAAGTGGGGGCGATAGGGTTCTCCCTACCAGGGTGTGGAGTTTTTGATAATTCTAAGTTAAAATGGAGCATTCTATGGCTTCCTTGGGGCCAAAATTACTATCAGACAGATCACAGTTGAAGACTGTGCCCATGTGTAATCCCTGGTCAATCAGAATTTTATGGTTGCCAGAGGATCTGCTGTCCAGGGTACTGCTCCCCTTTTCCCTTATTTAAAAATATCCCTGAATAATATACTGTTAAATTACTATTGTTATTTTCGTCATTTGATAATTTGTAGGGTTAACAGAATGCCAACGTGTATGTGAAATAAAGCAAGGAAATCACATCCAATATGGCACGGTAAATAAGTTGAATGAAAGCAATTGACATTTACATGTGTGACCTCTTGTCCCAATTGATGGGTAGTTAAGCATCCTTTTCTAGGGATGCCTGATGGCCAAACAGAAGATATGCTGTGACGTGAAGCTAGACTATATGGTGTCATACGAGAGAACAGATTTGAGTCACGTATGCGGTACATGTTTACTTTGATTCAACATAGTATTTACCATGCACGCATATTTGTAGAGGTAAAATACAGCAAATATTCTCGTTGTCTTGTTTCTCTCAGTTCTGTTTTGATTCACTTTTCTCAGTAGTGATTTTTTTTGTTCTATTCTGATTTGTTTTTAATTTTTAACCATTTCTTCCCTCCGGGGATTGAATTAAGTCTAAATAAAGAGTTATTGATAGAAGAATTAGGCTGAACTCTACCTCTTTCTCATGGCATTCTAAACTGCATAGTGCACAATAAGTTTGGGATGTTTCCATGGATACATCTTGTTTGTTCATAGAAGATGCTTGATTCTGTTTCTTAGATTTCTCCAGGAAAGCTATGGCCTCAATACTGGCTGCATGTCTCTTTCCTTTCAAATGATCCTGAAAATCCTGTCAAAATCAAAGAAGATAAGTTTTTTGTTTTTTAAGACAAACTGCTCATAACCACACATAACACTAATATACGACAGCAACTTACAGCGATCCAATGGTAGGTGAAGATATAGTAAATGTAAATCTCTGAACACATCGCGTTGCTAAGGAATACTTTCAAAGTGATCTAGCCCATCATTTCTCAGCAAATGCATGTTTTCAGGAATAGCTAATTATAATCAGTAATACAATTGATAATAGTAGCTTACCACTTCACTGCCACAGAGCACATTACAATGAGCACATGTCAATCTCTGTTTCTTGTGATATCCTCCATCCTTGTCAGACAATCCTTCTCGTTTTCTGCCTTTTTCATCAGCCTGCGGGTACAAGTAATAAATAGGTTCCCGTTGCAGTGTGCACAGTGCAATGTTAACTAACATTATTGTAGTTTAAAATGTAAAAGATAATAAATAATTAGGATGCATGCTCATTCATTTGCGGATCAGTTTCTCTGAGAAGACTAAATATAGGCCCCGATGCATGTAGTGCTTGACATTCACAGCAAAGTATGGGGGAAGCACATTAGCTACCGATTACTAATTCACTGACAAATTTTGACATCAGATGTGACTAACATACTTTTCACCCTGTAAAATCTCATGAACTTGTTTACAATCTTGCTTTTTATAGATAACTGGTATTTGGTGCTGACAGAATGAAGGGTAATAATAAATGAAACTATAAATCATATGATTTAGTTACAACCAAAGTAGTTAACAATCTTCTGAAAGAAAGTAAAGACTATTTTGTTATGAAAAGGTTAATTCAGGAACTTTGTGTAAATTATAATTTACTGGTTCTAAACTCACCCTGGCAGTTGACTTTTTCTCTTCATGATGTTGATTTGCAATATGCAAGGCATTTTGGGAATGCATGCTCACGTCCTGACAAGAAAACAAAACAAGAATCATGACAATGACGAGATGTACACACCCATTCACTGTCTTTACTTATCGCAAGCTGATTAACCTACTCTTTGCCTGTCTGCCAGCCATATCTTGAGTTTGCCAACTACTCTAAAGGGGGTAATTATTCACTGGGTTTTAATTTGGCTTATTTTGCTGACTGGAAAATGCGCTAAATTAAAACCCAGTGAATATGTAAAATTTAGCATAGAACACAATATCTAAATGATAAAACCGTGAATATGCCTGAAATGGTAAATCAGCAAAAAATTTACCCCAGCGAAAATTAGTCATTTTACAGTAAACAACATTTGTTGTGCATACCAATTCACTCCTGTGTCAACCAACATGTCTTGGTATGCCAAGTAATCTTGTATCGTACCAACCAATCACATTCAATGTCTGTTTTAATCCAACAATAAAAGTTTTATTCCTTGTTTAATGAAATTACAACCTGAAATTTGTTACCTTCCATGACGAGAAGTTTAACTGACAGACTGTACAGTTCCATTTTTTTTCACCAGTCTTTTTAATAATAACACCGTCTACGACCACCTGTAAAGAAATGCATCTATGTAAGAAAACACTCTTCACCATCCTAACCACCACCACCACCAAAAAACAACAATGTACATGTACAATATTAACTAAGGTTATTTTCCTTATGATTGTCCTGAGTTGGGAATATTTTTTCTGAATTTGCAATACAGAATTTATGTTCTTTTCAGGTTTAACTACTGGTTCTAACTTTAAAGATCGAAGTTGTGAAGACCTAACAGTTTATAACAATTTATTCGTAGTATGCATCATGCTCAGATGAGATGCGTCTTCAACTTTTTTTTTAAACGAGATGAATCCGACCTGGTAATACCGATTCCCAGGCTGAAGTGACTTGACCATTGTGATTTTCTGCGGTTAGATTTCCGAATGCAAGTTCTTTGCAACGTACAGGTACAAGCATACAAAAAAAATGTGTATAATAACAGTGATCCTACCGAGCTGTTGCTCTTTTTCTGCTCAGAACTATAATTCTGACGTGGCATTTTTGGTCTGCTAGGAAGCAGAGACCTGTCAACAATTTCGGCCGGCTCACGCTTAAAGTCATGTCTGTTAATGCGTTCAGGATTATGAGATTGTTGTGAAGTCCTAGAACTATGTCTAGGATACTGTTCTCGGTTTATATCAAAGTTTGGTGATTCATGATAGTCGCTCATCGTGGATTGCCACCCATAATCTGATTGTGGCATTCTTTGATAGTCCCCCAAACGTGGAGGACCATCCAACAATGATGGGATATCATCATTATAAATACGTGGACTTGATGAAGTATGTCGAGGTAGTTCTCCCTGTAGAGATCTGCGATCTTCCATTTCTGGATTATTATTTCTAGATAAAAGCGTATGAATTCTACTTCGATCTGGATCATTAGCCAAGAACCGTGAACTTGACTCAGTCGGTGGAAATCGTGCCAATGAATCATGAAACCTCCGGTCTGACTCTTTCGGATATCGCGAATGTGTATCATGAAACCGCGGGTCTGATTCTGTCGGTGGATATCGCGGCTGTGAATCATGAAATCGCGGGTCTGACTCTTTTGGTGGATATCGCGGTTGTGAATCATGAAACCGCGGGTCTGACTCTTTTGGTGGATATCGCGGCTGTGAATCATGAAACCGCGGGTCTGATTCTGTTGGTGGATATCGCGGCTGTGAATCATGAAACCACGGACCTGACTCTTTTGATGGATATCGCGGCTGTGAACCGTGAAACCGCGTGTCTGACTCTTTTGATGGATACCGCGGCTGTGAATCACGAAACCGCGGGTCTGACTCTTTCGGTGGACATCGCGGCAGTGAATTGTGAAACCACGGGTCTGACTCTTTCGGTGGATATCGCGGCTGTGAATCACGAAACCGTGGGTCTGACTCTTTCGGTGGATATCGCGGCTGTGAATCACGAAACCGTGGGTCTGACTCTGTCGGTGGATGTCGCGGCATTGAATCATGAAATCTCTGACTTGACTCTGGAGCTGAATATTGCGGCAATGAATCGTGGAACTGAGAACGCCGATAAAACTTTTCCTGTTCAATATTCCCATCACAGGAATAGTCAGGTCCACGAGACCATTCAGAACGAGGTGGGGGTCGATAGGGGAGGGGCAGTCTTCGGGTGACAGCGTCAGAATGTTGATATGAATCTGACATCGGCTGCCCTAAATGCCATTCCTGTTTATCCCGGTCATCCATACGATAATGCATATTGTTTTCTTTTAATGTCAATCTGAAAAAACAGAGATGGTCACAATGAATTAAATAAGCACTTGCAAAGACATTTCACATGCATCTGTGCTTACTGTAAGAATTACACCTATTAATTTCCTCTAATTTTCTATCATGCTAATAGATTAAAAAATTGTATATTTTGAAAAAAGTAATGTATAGTGATGTTCGACTGATAACAATGATGGATAACGATGTTTAACAGAGTTTACTGAAAGAACGCGCCAGGAGCAATACCAATGCCAAGTCTGTGACAAAAACTATACCGTATTTACTATATTAGAAAAGCACATCAAGTAGAAGTGCCTATAAAGCAAAAAATCTATTTACTCATTGACAATCATTTCTAAATTTGCACTAGCGGTACTAATGGAGTAAGTACTTGTGTGTTGCTCAGATCACTGTTTAGCGCTAACATTGTATAACAACAATCTAGACTTTCAATACAGATAAAATAATTGTAGCCATGGTAACTGATACACATATGACATTGTTTTTTTTCTTAACCAACTATCAACTTGCTTCTCAAAATTATATTTTCCAGGTTCTCAGCAAATTTGACTAACAGATCTATACCTTTGTTTTTTGCTCAAAATCGGATCAATTTGTTCACATTTTCTGCAATTCAATTCACTGAATTCAATCCTAATTATGGACCAAACAAACTATGCAACTATTGTTTCTAGTCTTTGATCAAAATATTTGAAAATTGTGCAACATTTTATGGAGAAGAGAGCAGATTAGTGTCTAAAGTTTACTTTGGCACTCAAAGTGTTAATAAAGAATGTTTGTCTGATATTTAATCATAGACCTTAGAATGGTCTATGATTTAATTCACTATTCATATGCATGTACATGATAATGTTTTTAAATGATGACAATATTCTAAAATATAAAAAAAATTATAGTTTGTAATAAATCTTTGCTCTAGGTAGTGAAAATAATATTCTGTGAAACGCTTAATTTTTACTGCTACGATTTTTCACAATTTGGTTAATTTATTGGCATTTTTGAAGACAAAATTATTCGAAAGTCGCTGACATTTCACTACATGTACCAAAAATATGTATTTTTTTTTTTTAATCTGTGCCAAACTGTACAGACAATATTATTATCTTATAGCATTGCAAATACCGAGTATATCGGTGAATGAATTGCAGAGAGAGATCAGTGTTATGTGCAAAGAGTTGGTGGAAAGAGTTCCTTTTGTACCCCCATCCCTAACCCTACCCTCCAGCACTCCCCAATTAATTGTACATGTCCCTCTTAAGAACATCTATAGTTATCTAGAGAAGGCATAAATAAATTGGGTAACTGAGAGCATGGAGGTAGAAAAAAGAAGGAGTGAGGACGCTATTTAAGCCCATGTTAATCTTATAAACATCTTTTATCTTCGTTCTGGTTAAGCCACTTATTGTTTTTGTTTAGAAGTCATTTTATTTACATGATGATAGCCGCTTATTTACACAAGAAAACGAGAGAAGAACTGAAAAAAATAAATTCCGTTTAAACATCGTCTATAAAATTGAATGCGCAAATCATAAATAAAAGAATTGTGCATGCGGGTCCATAAAGTCATTTCACACTTGTAGGTACTGGAAATTCTGCATATGAACGCTTCCAAGATGTGTGATTACTTCTTTTCTGATACTTTTCATCGAAACAGTCGTCCAACTTTAGACATTGATTAAAAAAATCTCGCAAATTTATGCAGTGAGATTTAAGGATACATGATAAGTTTATAACAAGATGTTTTTACGGGGCCTTTTTCATCGGTGTGCAGAACTGTGTAGATGTTGAAAATCGCACCTTTTGTTGCAATAGATTTGGGGTATTGAGTACACTCAGTAGTGTTCTTCCCAGCATTCAATTCGTGTGTGGGCCGCCACGCTGCTTTCCCTGCCCGCCACTGTGGTCTTGAGCCGCCACAGTGCTTTTTTCATTGTTCATCCTGTGAACTGTATTACGAAATATAGAAAGAAATACGTAGCTATCAGGGATCTTGCCACGCTTCCGACCAGGACTATTGTCCGACGTACCGACCGACACGCATTCTGCCAGTCATGGATTATAATTTGTAAACAATAGACATAGTCGCACGATGTGGTAGTGGCTTATAAACAATACAAGTTAATTTTGTAAAATTAGCACCTCTTTGTTTGTAAGTAAATACTTTGACGATTGACGCAGTTAATAGATTGAAAGCTAACATTTTTTCAAAATCAATTCCACCTCGATATAACATGGGCAAAGCGGAGTTCACAATCAGTTTACGCTACTCAAGAAAAAAACGTGTTTATTGCGTGATTGGGTAAAATACATTTGAACTTTTATCATCGCGAATCATGTAAAAACTCTTCTTTCAAGACTTCTTTTACCTTTCACCGGCATTACCATGCGGTATTCTGATTGGTTAATGGCGTTTTTGACCCATCGGGTCAAAGGACACATGCGTGTCAACTAATACGTCACAATTATCATGGCGGTCTGTGTTTTTCACCGAAGCGATTGAGTGATCAAAAATAATCGCTCAAATTCTACGTTTATTTCATATAAAAAAAGAAGTAACATTTTTTGCATGGCATGACTGAGTAAAAGAAATTTTTGGTATAACCGGTGTAAGTTAAGTCACGCCGTAACTTTGATGATCGTTTGGATGTTTTATTTATTCGTTCATTACTGTAAATGTAAACGTTGTAGAAACTGATGGTACGAATAATGAACAATTTTTTGAAGGAGAATGTTTTTGTAGTAAATAAGATCATGGAAGTCGAGAACATATTCCTGGCTGAAACGTTTCAAATGCGTTTCATTTAGCCTTTTACAATTTATTTGTTAGTTTGTTTTTAATAGTCTTCAGCATTTGCATTTCGATTCGAGAATGTTTTATTTTTAAATTCAAACTCTTCTAAATTGTGAAACGTAATATTTTGACTCCAATAAAAAAAATATTTGCACTGTGACCGAGCTCATTAATATTACAAAAGTGCCCAAAAGAATAGTGTTTATAACACTGTATGAAGCAAATAAATATGTACCACATTGTTTTTGAAAATATATGGTGTTTGTTATGTGGGTGTAAATGTGCTTTGGTCAATCTCTATTATTATGTAAATCACATGCAAATCATATGCAAATTAGTCCGCCACAGTGGTTTAAATTCCTGGGGAGAACACTGCTCAGTGTGCGTCTTTCGCTGCATTTTGTATTATTGTTATCTGTTTGGGCATGCGCAGTGCGTCGAGAATCTTTGTGAAGCTTCGGAATACAGCCAAAACACATAAGCCGATTAACGATGACACTTGACAGTGTGTTTTCCAAATAATTACAATGTGTACTGAGTAAATAAATCCAAACCATCATGAAACCAGCTGAAACAATAGTGTCCTCACACTCCTTCTCTTTTCTTCCTCCATGCTGAGAGAGAGTGTAAGGATTAGGGATGGGGGGTACAAAAGGAACTCTTGCCAAAAAAATGCATGACAAGGTGCTGCAGGGAAAAAATGTTGGTACATTCAAGAAAAAGGGAAAGAGTTCCGTTTGCACCCCATCTCTATCTTTAAGCCTACCGCTAACCTCCCGCGCTCCCCAATATAATTGTATATGTCCCTCCCCTAAGGACGCCAGTCAGTTCGCCCCAATGCACATTCGCCCCAGACCAGTTCGCCCCACAGTCAGTTCGCCCCACAGTCAGTTCGCCCCAAAGTCGGTTCGCCCCAAAGTCGGTTCGCCCCAAGTTTACTGGTGTTCGTTTTCGCGGTTATGCCTGCAAGGAAATGTGGTTTTGAAATATTTTAAAAATTATACTAAAGTAAAGCCACATCGAAGGACGCTGATCGCCGCGATTCATGATTGTAGCATATCGCCCGAACCCGTGCTGTGCCGTGTGCTATGATCGCAGACTCGTTTGACCTAATAGTCCGTACGACACTCTCCGACCCGATAGATTTTATAATTGGCGTTCACAGGTCAAAGCAGCCAGCAATCTTTCCGTTCAGGCTTCGATGAAAGTACGAGAATACATAACATCGAAGTTCTTAAGTGTACGATAATGTAACGATTATAAAATACATAACATCGAAGTTCTTAAAATAACGAACAGGTAACGACTATAAAATACATAACATCGAAGTTCTTTAAATTTACGATAATACATAACATCGAAGTTCTTAATGTAACGATTATAAAATACATAACATCGAAGTTCTTAAAATAACGAACAGGTAACGACTATAAAATACACAACATCGAAGTTCTTAAAATAACGAACAGGTAACGACTTTAAAATAGGGCAAAAAATTGCTATCACAGCGCATGGCAAAAAAAAGGCAAAGTATCGCAGTCACGACGCATATGGCACG